CGAATGCAACCCATCTCGAGCGACTGATAGCCAACACCAGTTGCAGAACAGCTATGCAGGAGGATCTCAAAAAGTACAGGCAAGCCAAGATACTGGAAGCAGCCGAAGGAAGACGAAGTCTTAAGAAAGGCCGAAGGGACCTCTGTGAATATCACGTACCGCTGGCTGCGCTATTGAACGAAGACGGAACTCCGACTTCTTCCCGATACAAGATGGAATCTATCGCGAAGAACTTCTATACCAACCTCTTCCGCTCATCAACACCCGTGCCGATGCCCGTTGTTCCCACTGGAGAAGTACCACCACGAATTTACCTGCTGAAGTGCGCACGGCGATTCAGACCATGAAGACATCCACGGCTCCAGGACCAGACCATCTTTCCGTCGAATTTCTGCGAGGACAACGTCTACACGAGATTCTCGCGTCGCACCTGACATTTTATCTTCGGAAGGAGAGGATTCCCGACCAGTGGAGAACGTCAAGAACCGTCCTTCTTTTTAAGAAGGGTGAACGGGAAGATCTTTGAAATTACCGTCCATTATGCCTGCTGAGTGTGCTGTACAAGCTCTTCACGAAGATTATCCTCGCACGCATATCTAGGACACTGGATGAAGCCCAACCCCAAGAACAAGCTGGATTTCGCAAAGGATTCAGCTGCATGGACCACATCCAGACGGTTTCGAGGGTCATAGAAGTCTGCCGGGAGTACCGACTGCCTCTCGTCCTAACCTTCGTCGACTACGAGAAAGCCTTTGACAGCGTCGAAACCAACGCCATCCTGTCTGCGCTAGTCGATCAAGGAGTGGAAGAACCAGCTTACGTGAGGACACTAGCCGACTGCTACAAGGACTGTACAACAACGATGCAGCTATTCCATCGCCCCCTAACCATTCCAATTGGGAAGGGGGTTCGACAAGGCGACACTATTTCGCCGAAGCTGTTCACTGCGGCCTTGCAGTGGGTGATGAAGTCACTAGACTGGGAAGAGAAAGGCATACGAGTTGATGGAAGATTACTATCCAACCTTCGTTTTGCGGATGACATCGTCCTTTTCTCGAGCAGTATCACTGAAGCAGAGGCGATGCTGAAGGAACTAAACGAAGTAGGGAAGAAGATCGGACTGCGAATAAATCGGAAGAAGACTCAATTCATGAAGAACGCCCTTTGCGAAGATGCAGAAATGGAATTGGAAGGCACCCTTATTATGGAGACGTCTTCTTACGTGTATCTCGGACGTTCGATGAACATGGAGAACGACTTGAGGGAAGAACTTAACAGGAGAAGAAAAGCAGCCTGGGCCACCTTCGGGCCTCTGAAGGAAGCCACCGACCAACTGACGGACCCGGAGCTTCGTGCCCACCTGTTCGACTCAACCGTTCTCCCAGCGCTCTGCTACGCAGCTGAGACTTGGGCTGACACCGTAGCCACGTCGAAAGCTTTAACCACCCACAGAGCGCTCGAGCGCAGTCTTCTGAAGATGACCCGACACAAGCAACATCTAGTCGGACTTCGCAGCACGGATATGAGAAGAATGTCCCGCCTTCGTGACCCAGCGGAATACGTTGCGAAAGCGAAACACCGATGGGCCGGTCACATAATGAGAAGAACGGACGATAGATGGACACTAAGAACATCTGAGTGGATTCCTCGCGAAGCCAAACGTCCTCGAGGAAGACCACCGACGAGATGGGCAGACGTGTTCGTGGAACGGATGGACCAGCTGAGAAATCAGCTGGATACGATTTTCGCCCCTGGAACTCGTGGACGCAGCCACCGACGACGACCAAGAAGATCGTGGATGTCCGAAGCGAGAGACAGGGATCAATGGCACCTTCTGTACTGGGGCCCGCACGTCACGTGAAGACGGGCCATCTAAGTATCTAAGTAAGTAATCTGCTTGGATTTCTGATGTACGAAGTAGAAGTTTCGCTCAAATGTCAACTCTGTATCAATGTCGACAACATATTCGTCGGCGTAAGATTCTCCTTCTGCCTCGCTGTTGAACTGGAACACATGCGAGTCATCTGCGATTTTGTAAAGTATTCTGCCTGCCGCTTCTTCTTCAAACTGCCAACCTTTCCAAAACATTGAAGGATATTTTAATAACATGTTGTTCTTCTGAATGCCTCAAAGTTTTTGATTTACTGAAACCAACCATTCTCTACAATTAGGTGAGTCTAGAGCGTTATCACGAACGTGACCTTCTTCAGCACACTAGTTTTACAGAGTATAGATTCCAGAAATGGGCGGGTTTTTGTGTGAAGGTGTGGAAATTCACCAATCTCTCATAGTTTTTTTGAGTATGTGCTGACAATGGTGGCACAACTGCCAATCAAAAGCGCATTTTTTACTAAAAAAAACATAAACATATAACAACGATAAGCACGCTTAAATAGACGCGTTCGCTCGCGTTCCCGTTAATGCTGATAACGATGTCAATCCACAGCACATTTTTTACTATTAGCTTGCTCCACCTCGCTCTTACAATGTATTGGCTTTTATCGGTTACCGGAGCAAATGATTTTTAGAGCCGGGAAGCAAAGAAGCCCTAACATGCTGTATACCATTCGCAAGCTGAGATCATGGAGAATCGACGGAAACCGTCGACTTTTTTCTAGGTCTTCTGTGCCGCGAGATATGAGAAATTTTATGTGCTTCAAAAATTAACTGATTTTGTGTCCTCACTTACTGCTCTCCAAATAAATTCTACGAGAAAGTCGACAGTCTACGTTTGTTAAAGAAGACTTGCTCTTTGACACAGATAGATAATCAGTGGTGATTAGGTCTTCATTTGGCAGGAATCTGCTGTTGAAAATGACCATGTTTTCAGATAAAATGCGGTGTCTCTCTCGGTAGAGGGGGGCCAGAAAGAAGTCGACGGTCTAGGTCGAATCCCCTTTTCCTAAGCTTTCGAATGGTATATAGGTTGCTGGGCGAAAAAACTAATCAGTTTTCAAAAATGGGGTGGAGATATTTACTATTAGCTTGCTCCACCCAGCTCCACCAATGTATTGGCTTTTATCGGTTACCAGAGCAAATGATTTTTAGAGCCGGGAAGCAAAGAAGCCCTAACATGCTGTATACCATTCGAAAGCTGAGATCATGGAGAATCGACGCTGATCGTCTCCTTTTCTCTAGGTCTTCTGTGTCGCGAGATATGAGAGATTTTATGTACTCGAAAAACCAACTGCTATTTTGTCACTTTCTGCTCTCCAAATGAATGCTACGAGGATAAATAAATGATATAAATAAACACAGGTACCGTTTCTTTTGTAAATTTATGGGTGTACTTGTTGTTTGAGGTACTTAGCCTGCAAAACCTTATAATAACGATTTTTATCATATTCTCAGAGTACAAATCTCAGCCCAGGTGAAGGGGGTCATCGGAAGTTTGGCCTCAAAGTGAAGGGGGTAAGATCCACCACTCCCCCTATCGCAACTATTGTGGGAACCCTAACAAGGACTTTAGGCCACTAAAGGCCAAATTCGACCTCGGAGCAAAACCAAACAAGCCAAAAACTCTTATATTATGGTAATGAAAGCCACTGATTTCGAATATGAAATTTTCACTTCCGACGCTTTTTTTCTAAGTTATCCCAGGTAAACCGTAATAATTGAATTCCCAGCATTTGTCAAAAAGTGATTACACCGTCAAAAAAGCTGAAAACACTAGTAAAAAGTTGTGTAGTGGAATCGGCCTGAGCGAAAACCCTATACACGATTTTTCAGATTTTTCGAAAAAGTTTCATCAGATGACATATTTCACAATGGTTCCATATGCTGAAGGCTTTTACCGTAATCCTACAGTAATGAAGAATGATAGATGATTCGCTCCATACTGTAAATCTAAGTTGAACCTTGCTCTACAGAATAGAAGCTCGGTGAGAGACATGAAAGAAAGGAATTTATTAACGATCAGACAGTGGGCACATTTTTTGGGACACCCTATATATGGTGGCAAGTTTGTGGTGTCATTTACTAAATCTTCTCGTCTGTAATAGTCTTCGTGTGTTCAAACGGATTGCTAGCGTCTGCAGACTCGCAGTAGTTCAACTTTCATACTTAACAATTTGGTAGCGCTTTTTCTCATAACTTTCATGTCCTATTGAAATCCTTCCTGTGATTCAATGCACTGAACTTGCACTTTACTTCGGAATTAAGAATTGAAACGCGTTTGCTCACTGCTCTAGCAAGCTCGAATTTGACTTCAGAATGTATGTGTAACTCATGTACAAAGATTGATCACTTTTGTTTTTTCTTGAAAAGCTAAATTAGCAGCAGGAGTTTACTGAAGGCATCACTTACACTAGTGCTCGGTTATTGCGGGCAATGCAGTCATTGCGTCCGCACGGTCAGTGCGGCAGTATTAACGGCAGTGTCCCGGCAAGTTCTGCACTTTTATCTTTTTGCATACTTTAGGAATTTTCGATATGTAGAACCCGAAATTGAGCTTTAAACAGGATGAAAAGGCCGATTTTAAGGCGTTTACCCAATTCCAAAAAAGCAGCTCGGACGAGATTTTCAATGGAAATTGAGAGGCCCTGACGAAAACCCTGTTGCCTGTGATTTTTGCTTTGTATAGCATGCACAATGCGGGAGAGCGGTCGTGGGGTTCCGCGCCGAGCGGTAAGCGAAGTCGTCAGAGCGCGCGCCGATTGGGGTTGCACGCAGGTTGGCTATTTTCTCGGCCCAAGAGGAACATCAACCAGCCGGACTGCACCTGGATGTCAGTGGGACCAAGAACTCCACCATAGCAGTATCACCCAGGGTGCGAATCTGCCGGGACACTGCCTTCAAACAACCCTAACTATATGCTGCTTGATATGTCATCTATCATCAATTCTAGTAAATAAAAGCTTCAACTTCGTTGCGAATATCACGGGAACTTCTTGTGAGACTCCAGCTTGCAAAATCATCAAGCATAGCTCTATTCCTCAGTGTAATTAACACTACCTAATATATGTCTCAACTTCCCGCCTTTTATCAATTATCAAATACCTGGCCATTTGTTTGTGTGAAATGCCATACCAAATTGTTTTATGCAAAGACATAGAAATCTCATGAACTGCGAATCGTGAAACCGATTACGTTATAAGAAACGTGTACGCTTCGTAAAGCAGGGTAAGTGAATGTCAGCAAATATAGAAATTCACTCAAGGCACTATACTGCTTCTATCATTGTTCCTAATGTTCCGATGCGACCTGTTTGATAGTGTTGATTATGATGTCGGAAGACTCCTCTATCTGAAAAGGTCAATGATTAGGAATGATTCCATGAGATCCGATGTGTAAGTTATTACCTGATCTTTATTGATACATAGAGGTGGTGTGAATCGAATGATGTCGCCATGGGTGTTCTTGGAGAGGAGCCCATTCTTCAGCAGTCGGTTGCATACGTTCCAGGCATCAAATTCTGAATCAACCTACGTGCTCAGACAATCGCAAAGAACTCCGGGACAAACTGAGCTTCCAAAAATTCCGAAGCGGACGCTGCTATTGGTCCGTGTGGGGTCGGCCGTGTGGCGTGGGCCCGCCCTACCTGGCAGCTCCAATAGGAGTGTCCCCGAAACTTCTAGAGGGTCAGTTTGCTCCGAAGCTTCTTCAGGATTGTCTGAGTGTTGATGCCCCCTATAAAACCTTGCCTTACTTTTGTTAATCACAACAGCACAGAAGAGTCCACGACCACGAACTACTGGCACAACTTCTTTCGGAAGGGTTCTTAGCTTGTTCATAAGCAATTTACCCATTTTAGCTGAATTTTCGACAAGTCCTTCGTCTTCAATCACCTGAATTCAACGATTAGAATGACTTTGGTCTCTCTTGCAGAAAGCTACCTTTAATGCTTCAATGGCAGCACGACACGCCACTGGATTTCCACCGTAGGTAGATCCATGCTGGCCAGGTTTGATGTTCATCATGATATCATCATCGCAAAGAACAGCGGAGACCTTATTTCAAGAGTTATTCAAAGGTGAACAACTGAACAAAAATTCCGAGGAAAGCACGTACCGGGTATACTCCACCAGAGAGAGCTTTACCTAGGATAACGATATCAGGTCGAACTTTCTCGTAATAGTGAGCAAGCAAACTGAAAAGTTTCAAACCTTCCTAAAAAGTTGTGTGTGCCTTTTGCATGAAGCTTGGGAGAAAAGAAGTATTATATCGTTATTTTGAAAGATTTAGCCTACACCAAGATTGTTACAACCTTTAATTGGTCGAGATTTTGGCCAGCTCGACTTCGTCAGAGCCTGTGAGGGGGGGGGGGCGCCCATTACTTGTGGGTGTCAATCAGAAATTGCCGCGACGCGACGTTACAGTAACCCGGGAGAGATGCAGCAGGGCCGCAGAAAATGTCTCAGAGGAAATGCTTAGGGGTCACTTTAGTACTGTGAACAAAAAGTACATATTCTGTCATCAGATAAATGGTAATTTCCATAATTCCGTTCACTATCTATTTATTTCTTACAAGATTTGAAGCCAAACTTCCATTACACAGTAGACTTTGATATGGTAGTGTGAAAACATTCACAAAGGATGTGTATTATGCCTTGCGAGTCGGCTAACCGAGCTCTCCCCCAACTGACTACTGCCAGCCTGTCGCGATCGGCGCCTGCGTGATTGACAGTCACAAGTAATGGGATACACCCCTGTGAGGGACAATTGAATCACTCTTCCAAACATTTCATCAAATGCAAGGAATAGGCATGAACTTGCCAAAATGATAACTGCATAGTCCCTCGAAAGAAACAGGCTGGGAAACTATATGCCCTCAGGCGTTATCTATCGTTTAACATGAAAATCGTGCAGGCAGAAGTACATTGGAGAGATGGGAATGCCACTGTACGCTAGGATCAAGGAGCACATGGAGGTAAAGGCTGCTGCATAACGAAGGCGCAGAAGCACTAATAGTAGAACGTGAGCGAACGCTGCGCGCACGCATCTTCACCACTGTGTACAGGGTGCGGCAAAAGTCTGGGAGCCTAGTACTTTTTCGCACAAAACGAGAAGGGGAGTACCTAGAAACGAAAAATTTGGCGCACACATAATTTGAACCATTGCAGATACAGCCCAGTTCTTGAGTTGCAAAACTGCCTCTTTTGGCTTCCACGCAGCCCTACAAAATCTTGGCAAGTCCACCTGTCATGGTACGCAGGTAGTCGTAATGGAATTCGCCCCACGCCTTCACAATAACTGCTTCTTTTACCTTAGCAAATGTGTAGCACGATAGAGTAAGCTTTTATTTACAACATGCTTCCAAAAGAATTTTTTGAATTGCTTAGGAATAAAAGTATTGGATTTTCAATTAGAAGCATGTGTACGTCGCATACGGAATTTTGGCTACAATTGCGCTAATAAAAACTTAAAAATATCGTTTAAAAAGTATAAAAAGTGTTCCCATAACGAAACTTCAATAGATTCTAATTTACAAGACGTATGCAAAGAATACAGCCTTGGTCCCAGTGCCTGTTGAGCATTCTATAGCTTTCAAATTTGTTTTGAAGACGGATTTCCACTGGCACGTAAGTAACATTCGCAAACTTTTATTTTCCGTTCATGCAAGAACAGCTCCTGGCAAAAGCAAAACTAGGATACAATAGCGCAAAACCTCTTCTATGTTGTGTGCATCGAAGTTTTGTAAAATATTAACAGAATCTCTAGTTACAGCAAGATTTGTAAATACCAAAAATTCTGGTTTTTCGCTTTGCAAAAGTACTAGTTCGGTAATTTCCATTCTTAGAAAAACATATGGCAGCCATTTCCAGCCAAATAAAGTGTATTCTGTAGAGGATGACCGCAGCATCATGTGGCATAAAATTGAAATTAAAACAATCAGTATCTTTGTAATTGCAGTACTGTAAAGTTAGGCTCCCAGACTTTTGCCGCACCCTGTATTCTGCGCCTCGCGCTCTGCTAATGAAACCGCCTTTGCGCCCAAAGGTAATGCGCCTTCGTCATGCAGCAGCCTATAGGTGCTTGAAGGCACTGTCCACCCAGATTCTTTACTTCCCTGTCCTGGTCATTCCAAGGCCTTTTTACATGTCCCTATATCCAAATATGAAATCGAGAATCCGCTAAAACTCCAACAATCCCTTTCGAAGAACCTCAAACCAGGGCGGTATTTATCAATCTCCCACTCGCTGTGCGGGCCATTGTTTTAACGAGAACCCGCACAGGCGAGAGCGCTCCCGCGACTTATGAAAATCTGGGAAGCGCGGCCCAAACGAGCAGCGCCACTCGACTCATCGAGATGAGGAACTGCTGCCCGGCTGCCGTGCCCGACATGGTGTACGGGCTGTTACCTGTAGGGGAACCCCTTCCTATACAGGAGTTTGATAAATACCGCCCCAGTTCTCCGAAACGGTGATTGCATGAGTGGGCGCGGACGGGAGGGCATGACTGGAGGGAGTGGTGCCCTCATGCCTCTACGCTATTCCGAAGCGATTTTCTCGTTTTTGAAGCGACATTTTGCCCCGCAGCTTGCGTGGATGGAGAGTTCTACTAACGTAAGCTGCGAAAAACTCAAGACCCCAACTTAGGATGGACGGTGTTCTTAAGTTGAAACTATCAACACCCCTACACTCGTCGGATATGCATCACCACGATACAAAATTTGATCTTTTGGTGTCAATTCTGTTACGAAAAGCGGAGGTGTGACGCAAGACGCTAGAAGCCTGTTGAATTTCGTCAGGAGGGTTCGACCTACAACCGCAACAACCCGGAACCTAGCTCACTTACTATTCATTTCTTCGTCAATGGTGGTCCATGGCCGACACTACACTCGGCAAAGTCTCAGGTGAGCTGTTGATCATAAAGCACGGCCATACTTGATCTGCTTGATTCGCTTCACTTACTTCGCCATGTCAATTTGCTGATGGATCGAGGGGAACAAGTGGATCAAGTACGGCGCGTGCCTAAGCATTGTTTTCGTTCTGGCAACTTCAAGCCTTCTCTTTGCATTTAACGAGATATTTGGAAGGGTAAACTTATTTGTTCCTCACTTGGCTCCGACGAAATCAAGTTGCCCAAAAAGTCAGTTGAAAGAAGTAATAGGCTTAGTGGAGGCTAAAACAGTCAAAACAACGAAAACCGAACGTAGGGAAGTTTTATAGTTTCGCTCAGTTTTATGCATTTCGATAGATTTGTTTTCACTAAAGCAATCGCACATTTTTAGATCGTTTAGCCATTGAATCCAAGATTTTCGAGCGATAACAAAACGAATTAACATCACGCCTTTCTATCAAGTTACCCTAAAATCTTACAGATAAGTCCTCCCATCAGATAAGTCCGCCTCTAGAAAAGTCCGTTTTTTTTCTTTTCATTACAACTACCCAGAAACTTTGTCAGATAAGTCCGAACACTGTCAGTAAGTCCGGAGTTATCTGTGGACGGATTTATATGATGGGAGGATTCAACTGCAAGAATCTCGGCGGTACGAAGGTGCCTTTTCATCGATTTTCTTGTCGAAAAGCGGATTTATCTGTAAAATTTTAGGATAACTAGCCACAAAACTCAATATTGATTTTCTATGTCTTCTTGGTTTTCTTTGCTGTTTGAGCACATTTGTGATCAATGAAGGTGGCAGTCGGATGTTGCGTATTTTCATCTAGACTTGCGTCTCGATGCCAAACTCCAGATAAAACAAAGAAAAACTTTGTACGCTTGCTTTCTCACCAAAATTTAAGGACTTGATGCATTGCTAGCTCTTTTTCGCTATATTTGCTATTCTGCTGGGATTAAGAGGTTAAAGTAAAGCTTATCGTGTACATGTTTGGGCATAGAGTTTTTTAAACCATGAAACGTTGAAGTGGAAGAAATAAACTGACTATCCAGTTCTACCAAGTCCTGATTGTACCTCGTCGGTGATGAATAGAACATTATACTTTTTGCACAGCTCAGCAACTCCCTGGATTCGAAGGAATACTCTCAAAAACAAACTGGAACTTTCTAAGTTTAACAAACCTTCAGATACCCGTCATCTGGCAAAACTACACCGGCTTCACCTTGAATTGGCTCTATCATGAAACCCGCCGTGTTGGGATCAGAAATAGCTTTCTAAATACAAGGAGAATTTTATTCGACTCAACAAGTATAATTTAATGAAGGTACTTCGACAGCCCCGAGATCATTGTAAGGAACTTTCTCAAAAAGCGGTACAAATGGTCCAAAACCTCCATACGATTCTGGATCTGTTGATGCTGACACAGCAGCGATTGACCGTCCCCAAAAGTTATTTTCAGCAAAAACCATCTGCAACATGAAGAAACTATAGTCATACTATATGTGACCTGTCCTTTACTACTCACCTTAGCTTTATTTTCAGGAACCTTCTTTTTGTCGTAAGCCCAACGACGAGCAAGCTTCACCGCTGATTCGCAGGCCTCCACACCTAGAACGATGTGGTTCAGACAATCAAAAGACCCTCACTCTTCATCTGTGCTTCTAGGACTAAACTTCCAAATGAGTTTATCGCCGAAAAACATAGAGCTTTACATAGACCTTTTTTACAGTACTAACCCGTATTCATAGGCAGAACTTTATCATATTTGAACTTTTTTGTAAGGAATTCTTCATATTCTCCAAGGACATCGTTGAAGAATGCTCGTGACGTTAGTGAAAGTTGCCTCATTTGTTTAATAGCAGCCTGAATGGGAAGATCGCTGAATTTGAAATTTACGGAATTTTGTACCGCTCTTACTCTTTGTTTTAAGTGGATTGGCGACTGTAAGGCGGGGCTTTGTGACCTAATTGAGGCTAAAGAATGAGAGCACGTTTGCGAGGGAGACGCAGACTGCGTCGCGGGCGCGAGCGGTCGCCTTCCAGCCGCCAATCTCATTAAATCAAAGGGTGAATGCTGTTCTATTAAAGGAGATTTTGCGGAATTTTCATGCAAAATTTTAGCTTACCTCGAGAATTCGTGGATGGCAATGTCCTTGATTAACAGCAGAATATGATGCGAGGAAGTCGTAATATCGCTTGCCAGCAACATCCCAGACGAATACTCCTGAAATCAATTGCGATGTCTGAAGCGCTCATGTTCAGCCCATTCAATTTCAAAGCTCACCTTCTCCTCTGGATAAAGCAACTGGAAGTGGATGGTAGTTATGGCAGCCAAATTTGTCTTCTCGAGCGAAAATCTGCTCAGCTGTTAGTGCTCGAAGAATTCGCGGCGACGTGGAGAGCTGTCGAACAAATCGCAGTGTGGAAATCATGCCGCTGAAACGATTTCAGTAAGAGCTGCATCAAAGCTGAACATTTTTACAAAGATGCGGTATGAGAAATAATTATTTGTAGAATTAAGCACGATGTCCGCAACCAAAAGGGAAAAGCCACATTTGCAGTTAATTCTGGACGCTGGTCATTTTTCTTTTGCAATGTGGTAATTCTCAATCCACTATAGGAGATGCAAATGAGATTACACCAAACAAAGAGCAACTTTGAGTGCTTCTTAGAAATCCTCTTTAGTTTCACATCGAAATGAAGAACAGAAAAACTTTAGCTGCATTACTAGCTTCATTTAAACCACTACTGAGTCGAAATTTGAAGGCTGCAGCATAATAAAAATTCTACCTTTTGTTTTTTTATTGGAAATAGAATTTACGTCATATTAGCTAGGTATGATGTCACAGCTTATGTTCAAAGGTATTCTGAATAAAAGTTGAAGCATCCGTACCTTCGCCTTCTCCTTCGCCCCACTCCTTCCCATCCTTTTTCAAAGTCTCTGCGAGATCATAATTCTTTATTTTTTATAATATGGTTCAAGTAAAAAAAGGTAAATCATTCAGGTCAAGTAAATTATAAAGCTTACGTAGAGAGAAATATGCAATAACAATTATAAGGTACTCTTGCTATCACATAGCTGTACAGAGAGCTCGTGAATATCGCCTGCTCGAGAAAATGAAATATTTCAACGAGATGTTGTAGTGACGACGACGCCGATAAAAACATGCATTTTTTGATAAACAATAAGATAAGTCCATCCTCTTCCTGCTGGATAAGTTTTTGCAACTCAGCATAAGCACGGCAGATTTTCTATAGCCACGCATAAAATAGAAAATAATCCTACCTTTGCCATTACATCAGATTTCGATGCGTCATAGCGCTGATACATATCTCTCTTGGCATAACAGAGTAAAAATCTCTAGCAAAAAAATGTTCAAAAAAGGTGCAGCTGCCACATACGAGCGCGGTCAGGTCGAGAAATTTATTTGAAAAACATTTCGAAAAATAATTATATGTTTGATAGATTTAGTCAAAACCTGAGGCATTTTTTTATATTTGCTTAAAGCTGTAGGTGCTCACAAAATAGAGATATTAACAATTGATCAAAGCATGCTAACATTGAGATAGTTGGCTTAAAAAACACCAGTCTATTCATACTTTTGAACGACACGTTGGTGATTGCGGGCATAATGTCACAAATGTACATAAATGTCTTTTTTGTGAGAATAGGCGGAAATTAACTAGTTCAAGACTTCTGCTTACAAAAACCTTTCTGTTAATAATTGCAAGAGTGAAAATGAAATCAATAATGAAAAGAATAAGCCTAAGTGTGTAATCGGGATATCTTACTTATTATATAACATCGTTGGGCAATGATTTCTATCGAGAAAATTTAACGATGAAATTCGCTTGACATTATTCAATTATTCCAAATATTTTCCAAGGACGAATACGAGCAGCAGCAACTGAGCTAGGTAGCATTCTGCACCCTATTTCAACTTTCCAATAATAGTTATCTTTTCATCCCAATATACTAGTCGAAATCCCGGAAAATTTCCATGATTTTCATGGTTTGAGCCAGGTCAAATTTTAACTCATGGAATCTGTACTCTATTATGCAACATGGTAATAATACACATGATTAGCCCGGAATGAAATTTTTCAATTTTTTTTATTCAGCTTACGGCGATTTTGTGGAAAACCACCAGCATAATCGCCATAGAGTCGAAAACTCCGGAATTTTGAGCATCAGCATCAAAAGGAATAGAACCTCTACAACTTTTACAAGCTCTAGTTATGCGATAATTATTAATATTTCGCCATCAACAGTCATGTTTAAGAGGCGACAGGACTCTCGGCACCTAATTACTCTGTGTAACCAGTCTGTTTTTCTTGGATCAAGGGTAAGGGGAGGTAGAGACATGGAAACTACTGCAGTTTTTTGGAAACCTGTCCATTAATTATGACACTGACAATAAGACATAACTGCCAGAGAAGCGAAAGAAGCATTGCAATTTATGTCTCTTATTCAATGTTGCGTGAGATTTGACTCCCAAGCTAGAGAAAAATAACGACCCGTTAGTAAGGTAGGAATGGAGGAATTTGTTTGAATCGCAACAGTGGGTTGATAAGAGAATCCCGGCAGCTTGATAGCAAAAAATGTTTTGAGATTTGAGATGTAAGGCAGAGCACACAGTTTGTGAGACGCTCTGGGAAAGCAACTGATCCCGTGTTGTAGGATGCGAGCTAGGAGAAGGCGCCCTCTTATCTTTGTAAAAGTCACGATATCTTCGGACGCGTGCCTCAAATATCAATTTATCCACCGTATCCGTTGAGCATAGTACATTCTCTAGCTGGGACTTGACGCAACAGCTGGCAAAAACTTTCCACGCAAAACCCTCCATGGCCATGCACATGGTGATGAGTAGGATGTCAAGTTCACTATGAAGAATTCACCTACACTTGTTTTGTGAACAAAATAACTTGTTCTGGATTGCTATTTTCTACATGTGACTTGGTTCCCACAAAAACTGTTCATGGATATCCTTCATGCTCCTTCCACATAGGAAAATCATGCATTTTATGGACATGACAACCAAAATCGGATAAATGAAGACGCTTGGAAAAAGATGGCAGAGTAACCCTTATAGGTTCTAATCACTACAACCCTTTTTGCGGTTCATAAAGACATCAGAATAAACCTTTGAAGGAGATTACAGTGGCAGACTTTTCGCTCATTCCTAAAAGTGGACTGCCGAAATTCTGAAACCGACCTAGGCTATGAAATTATGCAAGCAACGCCTTTCAGTTGCAAATAATCGAAATTAATGTAAGTTTGTGAGAACTCACATTACTCATGTTAAAAAATTAATTAAAAATTAACTACAAATAAAAAAATTACAAACTGCCAAGTCGCATTTGCAGCTTTTTCAGTCACAGACTACGAATGTATGTTTCCTGTCCTTTCAAGCTGGAAACGACCGATTAGAGGGGCTGTCAAAGTTCCCTATCGTGCGGTGGGTAATCTTTCATACGGTTGAAGTTGCCCGATTAGATTCTGTGAGATTAATGCATGACAATCCTGCAGTGGCGGTCCCAGTATTTCCGTCTTGGGGGAGGAGACGTGGTAAAAAAATTTTTTTCAAATGAAGGGCATGGCGTTAACCAAGCACTCCGAAAAAATCTTAGGGGTGCTTCTCAAAAACTTTTCGGGTCTCCAACCCCTAGAATTTGGAAAAGGGCGTTTTGTAAGGCTAATTTGAATTTCTAAAAATTTCAAAATATCTCAAAACCCACATAAGTAAATATCAAGAATTTCGCGACCCATAGCTTTATATAATACTTTCAAAAACACCAGGAATGCAGTGGCGGACCGAAGGGGGGGGGGCCGTCGGTTAAGTTAAAAGAAAGACAACGTAGAATTTTTTGTTTCAAGTAGTAGATATCCGCAAAGCGTCATGATGTGTGTGATCATATAGCTTTGTCGATAAGGAGTTATGTTATTCACATTTTGGGTGGAAATCTCACAATTGTGACTTGCTCCTGATGTTCTGGAACTTTTGCCTAAACAGTCTTTTCCTATACTTCTGTGAGCGCCGCATTGGTTTAAGACTTATATCATCACGTCCTGAGTAAAATCAACAAAATCAAGAGCTGTTGAAGTTGTAGAGTCTCATAGTCATGACTAAGGCAATAAAGCCATTTCATGAGACTAGCATGAGAAATTTAGCTGTGGTGTACTTCTCCTAAGAAGAGTTTCTCGACAAGCAAGAAACACAATTTTTGGGCAGATTTACAGACAGCTGAGCTGATGGACAAAACTTTTCTTGCGCAAAAAACGAAGCAGCATGTAATATGAGAGGTTACTGCGAATACACAGAATACAGCAACGTACTTAAGCAAAAAAAGCGAAATCAATCACTACTTAAACGAAATGAAGAGCTTTGAAGATGAAGGGCTAACCGATATGAAGACTCTCAGCGCACGTCAGCACAAAGCAGTCGTACGTGATTTATCGTCGACTGTAGAAATATTTTGTAGCAAGCTCAAGAGTGCAAGAAATCAGTAATTCATTCACACATGCAAGTTTCCTGGAGAGAAAAAGCATTAAATAATTACCACGCAGTCAAGAGCGGATGCCCCATTCTTCTCCAAAAAAGTTCATGAACCCACATGTCCATTTAAAGATATTCGAGTCCCTATAAATTCAACCAATGCGGGCAGGGGTTTATGATTTCGATCAAGTGAATGACGAAACAAAGCACTATCAAGCTCTTCAAACTGTATCGAGTCACTAATAATGAACTTTCAGTCCATCAATAATCAAAATAGACGATAAATGCAGTACAGCAGAAGCGATACGGAAATAGAGTTCTTTCAAAATCAATGATGCTGCTAAATTAAATTTTGATTATTTTAATTGGCAGAATATTTTTCACCAAAAAAGGAACTTACGATTTCTCGTAACCATTCGGCATTTTTTTTATCTAACTCAAACAAAGCTCTACTAATTTTCTTAGTATCTATTATGAGTCATAAAAATATGGGTGTTTCGCTTTTGGCGATAGCAGAACGTGTATACCCTTCCTACCCGATTGAAATTGACAGTTACGAAAATGGATGAAAGGATTTTTTTTTTCAAAAAAAAACAGGGATGCAAAGCAATGGGAATCTACACTAATTTCACGAAAACAAGACATCCATTTTTTTTCTATTCTCAACCAGCCTGAACACCAGAAAATTTCCCGAAAAAAAGGCCCCCTATCTGCTGCCCCTTGCAAAACATGCGTGGAGGAGAGAACAATTGCGAGGCACGGTGGTGCGCAGAGCTGCTTGCTTGAAAAAATGAAAACGGGGTGTCTTATACTCGTGAAATTAGGGTGCTATCGTAGCAGGAATAAATTGAGGAATTGTATCAATAAAATGCTCAACGAAAACCATTTGCAGCTCTAAACAGATCTGGCTTGGAAAACAAAGTAGTGCTGTTAGTGAATGGTACAAACGATTCATCTT